GGGGGGGGGTACTCCAGGATTATGAGGTACCAGGTCCTTTGATATGGGCTGTTAGGTCCCTGTACGACTGGTGTCAGAGCTTGGTCCTCATTGGCGGCAGTAAGTTGGGCTTGTTCCCAGTGAGAGTTGGACTCCGCCAAGGTTGCCCTTTGTCACCGATTCTGTTCATAACTTTTATGGACAGTATTTCTAGGCGCAGCCAAGCTGTTGAGGGGATCTATTTTGGTGGCCTTAGGATCGCTTCTCTGTTTTTTCGGATTATGTGGTCCTATCGGCTTCATCAGGTCGTGATCTACAGCTTTCGCTGGAGCGGTTCGCAGCCGAGTGTGACGCGGCCGGGATGAGGATCAGTTCCTCCAAATCCAAGGCCATGGTCTTGAGCCAGAAAAGGGTAGAGTGCCCTCTCCGGGTCGGGGAGGAGATCCTGCCCCAAGTGGAGGAATTTAAGTATCTTGGGATCTTGTTCACAAATGAGGGAAAAATGGAGTGTGAGATCGATAGGAGGATAGGTGCAGCGTCAGCAGTGAAGCGGGCGCTGTACCGGTCTGTCGTGGTGAAGAGAGAGCTGAGTCAAAAGGCAAAGCTCTCAATTTACTGGTCACTCTACATTCCTACCGTCATCTATGGTCATGAGCTTTGGGTAGTGACCGAAAGAACGAGATCACTGATACAGGCAGCCAAAATGAGTTTTCTCTGCAGGGTGTCTGGGCTCTCCCTTAGAGACAGGGTGAGAAGCTCGGTCATCCGGGAAGGACTCGGAGTAGAGCCGATGCTTCTCCACGTTGAAAGGAGCCAGTTGAGGTGGCTCGGGCATCTGGTTAGGATGTCTCCTGGACACCTCCCTGGTGAGGTGTTCCGGGCACGTCCCACCGGGAGGAGACCCAGAGGAAGACCTAGGACCTGCTGGAGGGACTATGTTTCTCAGCTGGCCTGGGGACGCCTTGGGATTTCCCCGAAGGAGCTGGCCCAACTGGCTGGGGAGAGGGAAGTCTGGGCCTCCCTACTGCTGCTACCCCCGTGACCTGACTCAGGATTAGCGGAAAAAAATGGATGGATGGATGAAACCCCCTAAAGAAATTAAGGTGGACAACTTCAGTTCCTGTTGCAAGGTGTTCCAGGTTGCAGGAGCTGAGTAGGAAAAGTCCTTTTTGTCAAGTTCAGTCCGCACTGAGGGAACGCTCCAGGTAATGATGAACTGAGAGCTCATGTTTTAACTGCAGACAGCGTTTGTGGGAGGAGATATGAGAAGGTAGCAGACCAAGGAGGGATTTATAGATTAAAATGAACCAGTGTGAGAGCCTACATGTAGATAATGATCAACTGACCAATGAGTACAGAGTGCAGTGATGGGTACAGTAGTTACAACCAGTTATGAATCTTAGAGCACCGTGGTAGACAGCATCCATACCATACCATACCATACCAATTTATTTATAGAGCACTTAAAACAGCAACAAGGCCAACCAAAGTGCTGTACAAAAGAAAACAAACATGCACAGCGAACAGGAAAACATAAAATAAAAATACAGATACAAATAGCAGCAGAAGCTAACTAAAATGGCCAACAGTGTAGAGTACAGACCGGACCAAAACAAATCACACCGTGTTAAAGGCAAAAGAATAGAAGTGGGTCTTCAAGCGAGACTTAAAGACTGAGAGTGTGGGAGCCTGCCGGACACTCAGTGGCAACTTATTCCACAGTCGTGGACCTGCAACAGAGAAAGCCCTGTCACCTCTGAGCTTACGACGGGTTTCATCCAACATCTGCAAGGAGCTGGCAGCGGCATTCACGTAAATGTCACCATAGTCAATGACCGGTAGGAAGGTAGTGGTTACAAGGCTTTTTCTGGCATTTAGAGTTAAGCAAGATCTATTTCTGAAAATGAAACCCAGTTTTAATTTCACTTTCTTTATAAAGTTTTCGATATGTGGTTTAAAAGAGAGATGTGTGTCAACCAAAATTTCAAAGTATTTGTAAGAATCTACAAACTCAATAGGAACACCATGCATGGATGATATAGGAGGAAAAGTTGCTGGCACAGACTTTCTGTTGGAAAACAGCATCCCTTTTATTTTATCAGGATTTAGCACCATCTTGAGATGGAGCAAATCTGACTGATTGATGTCAAATGCAGACTGTAGAAGCTGGAAAACCTTGGCAACTGTGTTAGCTCAGCAATAAACAACAGTGTTATCGGCATAGTGATGCAAGGATGTGCCAGGAGTGTTTTTACCTACATTATTTCTATAAATTGTAAAAAGAGTGTAACCTAAAACTTAGCCTTGTGGCACACCATTAGTGACCGTTACGTAGCTAGATGAAGTACCGTTATGTCGAACACATTGCCTCCGACCTGAGAGATAGTTTGAGAACCAGCCAACAGTGTGATCTGAGAAGCCAATATCTGAGAGTTTGTGACATAAGATGTCATGGTCTACAGTATCAAAGGCTTTGGACAGGTCTATGTAAAGTGCAGCACAGTAATCGTTAGCGTCCAAAGCTTCAACAGCATCATTAAAAACCTTTAGCGAGCAGTCATTTTTCTGCGTTGTTTCCTAAAGCCAGATTAGAGGGAAGATAAAATATTAAGATTCCAAATACTTCTTGACCTCAGTATTTATCATTTTTTTCTATAATCTTAGCTAAAATACACAGTTTGGAAATTGGTCGATAATAGGCTCTGTGCACATGCGTCCTGAATCACTTCCGCTTTGACCGGATGTCGGCATTCCAGTTTCCGGTTTAATTCCTGTATCCTGTCATCCCAGAGATAAACAACTAAAATGAGTGTTGCTGCGTCAAATAAACAAAAATATAACGTGCGTGGCAGCTTTAGATTTCAGCCGACGGTGTTTGGGTCTAAGGAGCACTGTTGTGTGCCGCTTTGCTCGTCTTCAGGTCGCTATAATAGCCGTTTGAGCTTTCACCGTTTCCCTAAGGAGACAAGCCTTCGTTTGTGCTGGCTGCAAAAAATCAGAAGAGAGGGATTTACGGTAACTCCTCACACCAAGGTATGTAGCCGACATTTCCTGGAGAATGAAGTAATTACTACAGAAAAGGGAAGACGAATTTTAGCAGCTGGGTCCGTTCCATCATTATTTGAGTGGAACAAATACAGCAGGAAGACACGAGCAGGTGTTTGGGAGCGCCGTTGTCGACCATCTAATCCAGAACCTGATTCGGCGGATCCAATTGAGGACAATGAACCACCCGTCATGGTACCTATGGTCGTGGACCATGACTACGGCGCCAGCAGAACCGTATGTGTTGACCGGGAGCAATATCACAGCATGCTGAGAGAAATTGAGCAACTGAAAGAGCAGCTCCGATCCTGTAGTCTTCAAAAGCCGTTTGGACTGGAACGTTTTTCTACGTCACCAGAAGACATCAGATTTTACACCAGGTCAGAGTTGTAAAATCTAAATATTACGTTATGCCTCTGAAAAAAATTAATACGCTTTGAGTCATTGTATATTTTGTCACATTACAACCAAAAACAATTTCATTGTAATGTTCTTTGAGAGACCAACACAAGTACACACTTACTAGTGGAAATGAAATTATACATAATGTAACACATTATTATTATTATTATTATTATTATTATTATTATTATTAGTAGTAGTAGTAGTAGTACTAGTACTAGTAGTACTGTATTTACAAATGATACTGAAAGGTGTGGTGTGTAAGAGTAATCGGCTCCCTTTTCTGTAACCAATATTCCTTCAGAAATAGCTTTAATGATTACAAATGGCTATGGAGTCCACCCGTGTGTAAACTAATGTCAAATACAAATACAGCAGCTAGTGACAGCCTCAGGTCGGTGAAAATAGTTGGTTTCTGTGATTAGATGACACACAGGCTGACTATTATGCCATTAGCAATCATCAGGAAACTTATGAAGACTAGAAGTTACTCTCTGATTTAAGGGGGCTGAACATTTGTGCTCAAAATAGTTTTCAATTTATAAAAAAATTACAAACCTTCAAATCATGTATAATTTTCTTTCCACTTTACAACATAAAATTTCAAAGAAAGATATTTATGTTCTTAGTTGTACCGTGTCAAAATTTGAAAACTGTTTTCACAGTTATAAATGTGGAGAGTGACAGTTTATATATATATATATATATATATATATATATATATATTTTTTAATGTGTTTTAGGTTCCCCTCATATGAGCATCTGAAGGCGTTTTGGAACTTGATCGAGGCAGCAACAGCCAAAATGGTCAGGGTCACCAGAGCAAAGAAAACCGACGTCATGAGTACAACAACTGAAACCCCTTTTACCAGACCAACTGTAAGTTACACACACACACACACACACACAATGAGAATGCTGGTTTTGAACTAACATTTAAATAATTTTCTGTCCAGAAACTGCTGCCAATAGATGAGCTTTTTCTTTTCCTCTCCTACCTGTCTACTGGATGTACCCAGAGGGAACTGGGCCATCGATTTAACATCCACAGAGCAACAGTCAGCCGCATTATTGTGACATGGGCCAACTTCCTGTACTGCTTATTGGGCTCAATTTGTGTGTGGATGTCTCCTGCAGCTGTGAGTTCCAGTCTTCCACAGGATTTTGATGGCCGCTACAGTGACACACAAGTTATCCTGGACTGTACAGAACTACGGTGTCAAACACCTTCATCCCAAAATGGACCTTTGGTCAGGAAATGGAGATATGAAGTTTGACAGAAAAGCTGATGGCACAGTCTTGAAGAAACAGAAAATGCTGTCATTTACTTACATTGACATTGTCTTACATTTGTAAATAGATATTCATGATGGAAATATTTTGAAACAAATTTGTACATTTGATTTGATCAAACTCCTAATTTAGACATTTCTGCAGGTAAACATAGAAAAAATATCTGTCTACTTTGTGTTTGATTGAATCCATCACATTAGTGTCTGCATAAATTCTTTGAATAAGAATATCTTCCTCAGCTGAGACAACAAAATCACACCAGTTCATCCCAGTTATTAGCATCTGCCCCTGAACCTGCCAATAGTAAACATGAGTTTTTTTTTGTTCCAATTTGCCTGACTTCATTTGGAGATATGGACAGTCAACATAACTTTTCACATTTGGACACTTAATCTCAATCAGCCCGAACTGACATGGCTCAGAAGGATCAAAGATCAATCCGTCTGGAGATGCCCCTAGCCAAGGAGCATCAGGGTGAATCACAAATCCACAGGGATAGTGGTTGACTCTTTTAATTTGACAATATTCCCAGATAGCATCTGCCTCTAATTCAAGCCCTCTCTTCATAGCTGCAGTCTGATAGGTCCCTTGCAGCAGACGATTTGCCAGATCTTCCTCAGATTTATCTCGAACCTGGCAGATCTCCCTGAAGCGGGAGGCAGTCAACCTATGCCTCCTTAGCTGATGCCATTCAGGACATGTACTCTGTGCTCTGGTAGCACATTCAAATTTATTCACCATGTCCCAGGTGACCTCCATACTTTTAAGGTGTAGCTGTTGTGGTTCAGAACAAACAAACATGCTTTTTGATGGCTGTAGGTGGTAGTTCTTAAGAGGCAGAGATGGGCGGGGTGGTGCAGCATGGAAGGACATGTCTCTCTTTGCTGTTGCTGGCTGTTGGTAGGACAGAGGACTTCCAGCCTGAACTTTGCCAAGGGCAGAGTCAACAAGGGGAAATTCATGGCTGATTCCCATGCTGCAGATCATTGGTGCATCAGCTGCTGCAAAATCTTCATACACCTCGGAAACCTGGGAAAGTGAAAACAATTATTTCAATAAAATGTAAAATACATGTATATCAACTAATTTTAAGCCCTCAAA